GTGTGTGTTTAATCAGATGAGAGCTAGTGGTGATCCTTACTTGCAACATTGTGTTGAGACTGCTATGTTGTTGGCTAATATTGGAGCTAACTCAACTGTTGTTGTGGCTGGGCTTCTTCATGATACAATGGACGATTCATTCATGAGTTATGATTATATTCTCAGAAACTTTGGTGCTGGAGTTGCTGATTTGGTCGAAGGGGTAAGTAACATCTAATATTGACTTTGATTGATTGAGATTCTTGGCTTGCTAGCTAATTGAGCTCAATGTGTGTGTTTTGGTTTAGGTTTCAAAGCTTAGCCAATTGAGCAAACTAGCTAGAGAGAACAATACAGCGTGTAAAACAGTTGAAGCTGATCGGTTACACACCATGTTTCTTGCAATGGCAGATGCGAGAGCTGTTCTTATCAAACTGGCTGATCGTCTACACAACATGATGACGCTTTACGCACTGTCTCCAGTGAAGCAGCAGAGATTTGCGAAAGAGACGCTTGAGATATTCGCACCTTTGGCTAATCGATTGGGAATCTCTACCTGGAAAGTTCAGCTTGAAAATCTTTGTTTCAAGCATCTTTATCCACAGCAGCATAACGAGATGTCAACCATGCTCGAGGATTCATTCGATGAAGCCATGATTACTTCCGCAATAGAGAAGTTGGAGCAAGCTCTTAAAAGAGAAGGCATTTCTTATCATGTTCTCTGTGGTCGGCACAAGAGCTTGTATAGTATTTACTGCAAAATGTTGAAGTAAGTTCTCATTCCTCCCTTTTACAGATGAAACAGTGTGAGTGAAACCAGAAGACTAATGTTGATGTTGCCTTTTCGATTGTACCAGGAAAAAGCTAACAGTGGATGAAATTCATGACATTCATGGGTTACGTTTGATTGTTAACAACGAAGAAGATTGTTACAAAGCCTTAGGAGTAGTTCATAGTTTATGGTCTGAAGTTCCCGGAAAGCTGAAGGATTACATAACTCATCCCAAGTTCAATGGGTAAGTTCATATCTCATTGTTTAAGCTTTGGCTTGTTAAAGTTTTACGAATCTGACTTTAGTATCTTTTTCATTTTAGGTATCAGTCTTTGCACACGGTAGTGATGGACAATGGAACGGTTCCACTTGAAGTCCAAATACGTACACAGGAGATGCATTTGCAAGCTGAATTTGGGTTTGCAGCTCATTGGAGGTACAAGGAAGGTGATTGCAAATACTCTTCGTTCGTGCTTCAAATGGTTGAATGGGCTCGATGGGTTGTAACTTGGCATTGCGAAACAATGAGCAAAGACCGATCTTCCATCCGTTCTTCTGATTCCATCAAACCCCCTTGCAAGTTTCCGTCACACTCTGGGGACTGCCCGGCTTCTTACACGCCTAACAGTAGCCAGGATGGACCAGTCTATGTTATTGTAATCGAAAACGATAAGGTTTGTTATAAACTTAATGAAGATTTTTTTCTAGTACAAGACTATTACGCTTGATTGCCATATTGAAACAAATCGGAAAATGCAGATGTCTGTGCAAGAATTTCCAGCGAGCTCAACAGTCTCGGATCTGCTGAGCCGGGCGGGGCCAGGGAGCTCAAGGTGGTCCATGTATGGCATACCAGCAAAGGAAGAACTGAGGCCGAGGCTAAACCAGAGACCTGTAAGCGACCTCAAGTGGAAGCTGAAGATGGGTGATGTGGTGGAGCTGACTCCACCAATTCCTGATGAGTCTCTGCCTGAATACAGAGAAGAGATTCAACGGATGTATGATCGAGGGCTCGCGTTTTCTCGCCCTGGGACCATGGTCGGATGGGGAAGCTGACGATGAGTCCTCTGATTGTTAACTAGTCCATGTATATATATATATACACATTAGTAATGATTAAATTGTTGTACATAACGATGGTTCTGTTAATTCAATCTTAAGCTGGAAAAAAGCTATAAAAATATTCTTACTTTAAATTTGCCAACAAAAATACTCTTATATTGTGTCATTACAAGTTTAAAATATCATATTTTATTAAGCTTTGCCAATTTATTGAGACAATTCTCTGTGATTCCTACAATATATTATTTCTTCAGAAGTTGAATATGTTCTGAATTCTCAAGCTTATCTTCATGAGGTTGATTAACAAAGCACTAAATTGACAAAGTTTTAGAAAGTTTGGTATTCAGCTTTTCTAATAAGAAAGTTTGTCTTTAAATAGTCCTGAAAATTGAAATCTACACAAGTATGAGCAGCCACTCATAATTCTGTAAACCAACGTAATTTTATTAGAGCTCAAGTTAATGCACTGACGTTAAAATAGAGTACCCCCATTGTTTTCTTTTGGTTTACTTGCGCTTGCGCAAAATCAAAATCGATACTAGTTTATGATATGGGCATTTAACTATAAGCACACTTCTAGTGGATCCCATGTGTATTACTTTTCTCTCCAGACGTATACAGATTCAAAATTACAGTCTTTTCGTTTTTTCTTGTGAG